CAGTTAATGACAACCTACTTCCTTACAACTATAATATGACAAAGTAAAATACAGTCTTAACGCCCCACAAAAGCACTTCAATTCTTATTTCTTAGAGGGGCTTCGTTTACACACGTCTTCAAACATAAGGATCTATTTGTGTGGCTTATTTAAACCAGGAAAGTTCAAATCAGGGACAGTGTCACCCACCAATAAACAAATTATTCAGATACCAGGGACATAAGATGAAGTGTCCAAAACGACAAAATAGTTGACTTACATCAAATAAGAAACCAAGTCTGTGTTATGGCTTCCTGTATTTTGTTATCCCACACTGTCTCTATATAAACCATCTGTGCTACACACACTTCAAGCCATCTTTCAACTATCAACAGGGCTTCTGCAGTAAAACAAACAATTACTAATAGATGTATCTTAGAGACAGATTCTAAATCAAAAGGCACAGTGCTCCAGCATTCTATTATTAACAAAAGATCAGAACAAATCAGCAGAGGATTTTTTCTGAACATCCGTTAGTAACAGAATACAGAGATGAAAGACAGAGTGGGGGGGGGGAAGCAACGTTTGCTGTCACACTCACCCAGACAAGACAACACACACAGAGTCTGGACTGAAAAACTACTTCCAAGTGCTCATTCTAAAAGAATGTTATTACTTTTTTTTTTTTTTGCTAACCAGAATCATGCACACCAAAGGAAAGAACACAAAAAGCTATTGTCATTTGCACTAGCAAAAAAGTGTAATAAGGCATGATGGAAACAAGTTAATGAAACTGTAATCTGGACTGCTAACTGGGGAGTATTAGAAGTTATACAACTTCTCATAGCACTTGACACATGCACCCCTCAGCTACTGAAACAGGTAAAAGGTATCAGGCTTGCCAGAAAATAAACCTCATTAATTTTATTTGTAAGAGGAGTTGCAACAACTGAGAGCCATAGCCTGCTAGATTCACAAGATCTTCTGGACAATTTCTCATACGTAACTTCTGTTCAGAGGAAGACTGCAACACTAGTTAATGCGAGTTCCTCACACAAAAAACACTTAAGTGCAGATTACTTATAGAAGGAGTATTTAATAAGACAGTCTACAGATTAGTTGTATATCCTGTGGTAAACCTACAATTATTGTCATTCAGGTTGAGAGTATTCACCAGATGCAAGGAACCAGGAAGAGAGATCAACAAGGCTGGAATCAGAGCTGTGTTAAGGGGCAGAAGGAACACCCTGTCTCCATTTAAAACACGCTTCCCGCTAGCGTACCTGCTGCTGAAGTACCTCTGGCCTCCTTTTTAGCCCAGCATCCCCGCTCTCAGCTAAAGCAGGAATCAGAAGTGACAGCCAGTTCTCTCTCTGATTCACAGTACTTCTTGGTCATACCATAAGTAAACCTAGTTTTTAAAGTGGAAAATAACTGCAAACAGGAGATTATGAAATTTGGACTGTTGCTGCATGCTCAAAGATAGCACTGTTCTTATGAAGGCAGTGTGCATGTGTACTAGACATCCCAGAAGAATTAATCTGTGATGTAAAAGTCACGGTAGGGCTCGTTCTGCTGAGTGTCATCACCCCCCCCCAACAAAGAAAGTGGGGCTGTACCCTCAGTTACGTCTCTTGCAGCTTTACAGCCTTCACTACAGTCGCACAGTAGGACCCAGAGGCAAATGTAGCCCCTTCAAAAGTAACTTCATCTCAGCTACCAAAATGAGGCAACCAGAACCCATCTCTGCTCCAAACGCTGCAACAGACCCCAAGAAAAACAGAGATTACAACAACTTATTCAGTCAGAAGGCACAAGGCCTCCCTCAGAGCGGACGCGAGCCCGAGGCAACCCGAAGCCCACGCACTGACTGCACCCCGCAAAGCCCAGACGGTGCCATCACCGGGCGCCGTGGCAGGCTGCGGAAGGAAAACCCGCTTAACAGAAAGGAGGGGAAGGAACCGAACAACTCCCAGCTCGCTGCAGGAGGC